ATTGGAAGAAGTACAGTGGTACCTCTAGATGCAAACGGGATCCGTTCCGGAGCCCCGTTCGCATCTAGAAGCAAACGTAACCAGCAATGGCACATCTGCGCACACGCACGTCGCTTTTTGACGCTTCTGCAAATGCGCAACGTCATTTTGAGCGTCTGCGCATGCGCAAGCAGCGAAACCCGCAAGTAACGCACTCTGTTACTTCCGGGTTGCCATGGAGCGCAACTCGAACGCGCTCATCCCAAAGCACATTCAACCCGAGGTATGACTGTACAGTGGTACCTTGAGTTACATACGCTTCAGGTTACAGACTCCGCTAACCCAGAAATAGTGCTTCAGGTTCAGAACTTTGCTTCAGGATAAGAACAGAAATCGGGCTCCGGCGGCGCAGCAGCAGCAGGAGGCCCCATTAGCTAAAGTGGTGCTTCAGGTTAAGAACAGTTTCAGGTTAAGAACAGACCTCCGGAACGAATTAAGTACTTAACCCGAGGTACCACTGTATGTGAATTATTTGAAGAGCAACTGTAATCAACAAATTACATTAGAAGTTTTGTAAGGAGATGCTGTTCCCGCCCTGGCAAAGCTTTAACTTGCACCAGAGACCCAAAGGTCATCATCCAACCGGCCGAGATGCCCTTGATCCTCTGGGACAGGCACCCCCAAACTCAGCCCTCCATATGCTTTGGGACTACAACTCCCATCATCCCTAGCTAACAGGACCGGTGGTCAGGGATGATGGGAATTGTAGTTCCAAAACAGGTAGAACACCAAGTTTGGAGGCAGAGGAACCAGAGACGAAATTGCAAACATGCAATAGTTCAAGCTCTGGTTTTCCCAGTAGTGATGTATGGAAGTGAGAGCTGGACCATCAAGAAGGCTGATCGCCAAAGAATGGATGCTTTTGAATTCTGGTGCTGGAGGAGACTCTTGAGGGTCCCATGGACTGCAAGAAGATCAAACCTCTCCATTCTGAAGGAAATCAGCCCTGAGTGCTCAATGGAAGGACAGATCGTGAAGCTGAGGCTCCAAGACTTTGGCCACCTCCTGAGAAGAGAAGACTCCCTGGAAAAGACCCTGATCCTGGGAAAGATGGAGGGCCCAAGGAGAAGGGGACGACAGAGGATGAGATGGTGGGACAGTTTTCTCGAAGTGACCAGCATGAGTTTGACCAAACTGTGGGAGGCAGTGGAAGACAGGAGGGCCTGGCGTGCTCAGGTCCAGGGGGGTCACGAAGACTCGGACACAACTAAACGACTCAACAACAACAAGGACTACCATAAGTTTTGTAAGGAGATGCTGTTCCCACCCTGGCAAACCTTTAACTTGCACCAGAGACCCAAAGGTCATCATAGAGCCCAACCGGCGGAGATGCCCATGATCCTCTGGGACAGGCACCCCCAAACTCAGCCCTCCATATGCTTTGGGACTACAACTCCCATCATCCCTAGCTAACAGGACCGGTGGTCAGGGATGATGGGAATTGTAGTTCCAAAACTACAATTGCGCACCGAGTTTGGGGATGCCTGTAGTCTGGGAGATGCAGGATGCAAAAGGCGGCGGTGGCAGCGCTCACCCCGGTAGTCTTCCAGCTGGACGGAGCTCACGGCGTCCGGCGCCTCCTCCCGGATCAGCTCGGCCAGCCTGGAGATCCCCATGGCCGGAGCCCTGCGCGCCCCTCCGGCTCTGCGCGCTGCTGCCGCCGCCGCCGCCCTTCCTTCCCCGGGGCGGACAGGGAGAGGAGGAGCCCGGCCAGCTGGAAGCGGGAGCGCGCCCGGGCCGGAAAGGGGCGCGCCCAGCTGCCTGCCTTCCAGAGCCAGCAAGAGTGCCTCTGAGCACGTGCAGAGAGCCCCGTTCTTGCCGCCGCGCGGTGCTTTCCAATTGAAACTCTCCAAACCATTCTTTACGCAATACTTTTTCTTTCTAAAAAATGTTTAGGGTTATACCGTCATTTTAGCTCAAGAAAATCACAATTTAATAGTTCAGATAAATACAGTAAATGGACAAAAGTACAAAGATTCACCAAATGTTTAGGGGTCTGCGTTCCCCCAGAAAAAAGGACTGTTCTTGCAGCCGGCGCGGTGCTTTCCATTGAAACTCTCCTAACCATTCTTTACGCAATTCGCTTCCCCTCCCCTAAAAAAAATGTTTAGGGGTGTACTGTCATTTTGGCTCAAGAAAATCACAATTTTATAGTTCAGATAAATACAGTAAATGGACAAAAGGACAAAGATTCACAAAACGTTTAGGGGTCTGCGTCCCCCCAGAAAAAAGCACTGTTCTTATGTTTTGTTTTTTAATGTGTACTCCACCAAGTTAAATAAATTTCTATAATGCTCTGCATCCGAAGGCCATAGGGGGTTGACGGTATAAAAGCACAAATATGCATACCGCACGAACAAATGAAAATTATAACTGTACTCGTAGCCAGATCACCCCCAGCTTAAATATTCATATATTTTTGCAGCAGGTCCCTTTTTGTTCCGTGTGAAAGAGGCAGGTGACCCAGGCAAAGGTCCCTGCCCCGAGGAACGCACAATCGCCAGCTTTTTCTCCGTATTTTTTGGGGAGGAAGGGGAGTTATTCCCAGCGAGCTGCTCGTGTTAATGTACGTTTTATCTTTGGTAATTCAGGATCGCACTTCCTTACGGTAGGCGGTGAGCCGGTGCAATTTTTTGAGCACTGCAAACCGGTGCAGTTTTTTGAGCAGTGCAATCTGGGGCAGGTCTACTCAGAAGTAAGTCCTGCTGGCTTCCTCGGTAATTAATTATTATTATTATTATTATCATCATCATCATCATTATCATCATCATCATCATCATCATCATCATCATCATCATCATCATTATTATTATTATTATTAAACACCCAAGGAAGACAAGCACATCTTCCTGATGTTGGGCGCCCTAAGTTTCTTGTTGCAACAACACTCCCTTTCCTCTAGGGCTGGGTGCTACTGCGCGTGCTCAGTCCCGACCGCGCCTGCCCAGTAGCGACCGTTGAAGCCGCTGCCCTTTTTCCTTGCCCTTACTAGGAAGGCCCAATCCAAGAAGAGTTATTTTAGCAAAATAAGAAGCCTCTTCTAAAAGAAGTCGAGAGAAAGGCCGAGAGTCTCTCCAGGCTGTGGCGAAACCTCCCAAAGTGGCTTTGTTTCCCCCGTGGGAAAAGGAAGTCTCTATGGCTTCTTCCTGCCCCTCTAGCCTGGCGCACTCTATGGCTCTTTCCTCTTCCGGTTTTCCTCTCGACGTGCCGCTCTAGCCGTGGGAGACTCGGTGTCGGGCGCTTGGCGGACTCCGGGGGAGAAACGGGCCGGGTAGGGAGAGGGAAGGGAAGCGCGGGCCGGGCCGGGCAAATGGAGGCCGGGGGAGCCCATCCCTCCCTTCTTTTCTTTTCTTATGCAGGACTTTCGCTCCCTGGGGACTTGACGTTGAGGAGACGCCACACAAAAGGAAGAGGGGCAGGGAGGGAGGAGGAAAAAGGCAAACTCAGATCCCAAAGGGTTATTGTTGTTGTTGTTGTTGTTGTTGTTATTATTATTATTAATGTGCTCCAGCGGTTCCCAAAGTGGGATTTTCTAGAGAGGGGGAAGAGCTAAGAGGCAAGGGGGGGCAGCACCGCTTTGAAATGGTCCAACTTGCCATTTAGGAGACGCAACATAAAAGGAAGAGGGGTTGGGAGGGAGGAGGAAAAAGACAAGCTCAGACCCTAGAGGGTTGTTGTTGTTGTTGTTGTTGTTGTTGTTGTTTTCATGTGCTCCAGCGGTTCCCAAAGTGGGGTTTTCTGGAGAGGGGGGAGAGCTAAGAGGCTAGGGGGCCCAGCACTGCTTTCAAATGGTCAGACTCGCAATTTAGGAGATGCAACGCAAAAGGAAGAGGAGTCGGGAGGGAGGAGGAAAATGGCAAACTCAGACCCCAGAGGGTTTCTTCTTATTATTATTTCATGTACACCAGCGGTTCCCAAAGTGGGGTTCTCTAGAGACGGGGGCACACTAAGAGGCAAGGGGGCCCAGCGCAGCTTTCAAATGGTCCAGACTCGCCATTTAGGAGACATAATAATAATAATAATAAATTATTTATATCTCACCCTCCCCAGCCAAGACTGGGCTCAGGGCGGCTAATGACACCAAAGGAAGCGGGGCTGGGAGGGAGGAGGAAAAAGGCAAACTCAGACCCTAGAGGGTTTCTTCTTATTATTGCATGTGCACCAGTGGTCAACAAAGTGGGGTTCTCCAGAGAGGGGGGCGCTCTAAGAGGCAAGGAGGCCCTGCACCGCTTTCAAATGGTCCGACTCGCAATTTAAGAGACATGACACAAAAGGAAGAGGGGCTGGGAGGGAGGAGGAAAAAGGCAAACTCAGACCCCAGAGGGTTTTTTTATTTAAAAAATTCTTGCGCACCAGCAGTTCCCAAAGTGGGGTTCTCCAGAGAGAGGGATGCGCTAAGAGGCAAGGGAGCAGTCAGCAGAGCGCTGGACGTGAGATGGACTGCTGGACTTGGAGAATCTAGGTCAAGTTAATCCATTGTGTCGAATCAGCCTTGTCGTATTTATTCATTCAATTTCTTTGCTGCCCGCCATCCGAGGATCGCGGGGCAGTTTGCAACATGGAAACACAAAAATACATAACATAGGAACAAAAACAAAGAAGAAAGTAAATAGTTTTAATTGGCCTTTGAATAAATGTGCAATAATTGGTTACTGTTTCTCATTTGTGTGTGTCGTTATCCTCCTCACTGCACACTGCTGTTTTGAATAAGGCTTTTTATAGGGCTGGATAGGAAGCGCTAGGGGTGAGTTTATGGAAGTAAGTTTGGGAACCGCAGATGTATATTACACACAAGTGACCACAAAATCCAGCGCCTTTGCTTTACCCTTTGCCCAACTTTTCATTAAAAGTTGGGGGTTTTTTCTGCTTTAGCAATATGCCGCCATCTTTCTAACCAGGCACCTGAGGTTGTCAGTTTTTGATTATGAACTTCAGCCCCACGGCTGAGCCCAGGTGAGCAGCGTTCAGGCTGATCCTCTGCCTGCCCTGCCCTCAATCTTGGGGGAAGCGCTGGATACTTGATTACCTGTCTGAAATTGTCTCCTGGTTAGGAGATGCAGAGAGCAAGAACTTCGCCTCCGACACCTGACATGCCGATTCATTGTCTTGTAGCTTGATGCCCGCGCAGCAGTCATGCCTCATCCTGACTCCTGGGCTCTTTAACCTGCACGCTCCTTCCCTCGAAGAGCAAAAGTCGCCATGGCAGAGTGAGTGTCTTAAAATCAAATCAGCTGACCCCTGGGGCTGGCCCTTGCTCCCTTCTAATGAGCAACAGTGGAACCAGATTCCCTTGGGACTCCTTCCTTGGAGCAGATAGATAGATATCATAAAACTTTATTTTTTATTTTTTGCACTTCATTTATTTATTATTAATGTTGCAATACAGCTATGAACTTAGCAACCTTTGCTGTTATCTGCTCATTTTGATCTGATAGAAGAAAGGACATTGTGTCAGTGGTTGAGCGCCCTGGGATGGTTAGTACGAGTGGGGTGACGATCCCCACAACACGTACTCACTATGGGCCCCACTAAAGCAAACCGTCTGATTTGTCAATGTCTAAAAGATATTGAGCATCAGAACAACCTGGGCGTTATAAGGAAATTCTGCCCTTGGTGCGTTCATTTTCCACCTCTCTGTTTTGATTCTCTGGCCCCATATCTGCACAAACTTCTTACCCCAAAATACAGACGTGCTTTTACACTTGCAAGACTGGGTGGTTTGCCATCTGCGGTACTTGAGGGTCGATTCCAAAAGATCCCGCCTGAGAAACGTCTTTGCCCCTGTGGAGACGGTAGCACCGGAACAGCGGCCCACGTCCTCCTGTCTTGTACTCCTTCCTTGGAGGTTTTTAAGCAGATACAGTGGTCCCTTGGTTCTCAAACGCTTTGGTACTCAAACAACTTGGAACCCAAACACAGCAAACCCAGAAGGAAGTGTTCCAGTTTGCGAACTCTTTTCGGAAGCCGAACCTTCTCCATTTTGAGTGTTGCGCTGAGGTCTGTCTGTTTTTGCTATTTATTTTGCGTTTTTGCGGCTCTTTTTTGTTTTGTTTTTGTGACTGTGTGGAACCCAGTTCAGCTACTGATTGATTGATTGTGTGACTGCAGTACATTGTTTATTGCTTTCATTTTATGGATCGATGGTCTTGTTAGATGGTAAAATTCATGTTCCCTTGCTATTTTAGGGGTTGTTTTTAAAAGTCTGGAACGGAGTAATCCGTTTTGCATTAGTTTCTATGGGAAAGCGTGCCTTGGTTTCAGAATGCTTTGGTTTTGGAACGGACTTCTGGAACGAAATAAGTTTGAGAACCAAGGGACCACTGTATTGGATGGTCATCTTCCATGGATGCTTTAGCAGAGATTCCTGCATTGCAGGGGGTGGACTAGATGACTCTTGGGGTCCCTTTGATTCGAAGGAGGTGTGAAATAATCCTCTTTCTCTCTGCCTTCATTTGCAGAGCCTCAGCCTCAATACCTGGCTGGCCTGATGAGGTGACCGGTCTGCTCTCCAACCTCCTGCTGTGTGTCGTGTCCCTGGGCTCCGCTGTCCAAACCTTCCAGGTAAGAAAAGAATGGAACTTGATTTGGGGAGTCCCCTGGTGTTTCAGCTTGCTGGCCTGACCTCTTGGGTGATGGGCCTTTGCTGTTGTTGTTGTTGTTTAGTCGTTTAGAGGTGTCCGACTCTTCCTGACCCCATGGACCTGAGCATGCCAGGCCCTCCTGTCTTCCACTGCCTCCCGCAGTTGGGTCAAACTCATGTTTGTAGCTTTGAGAGCACTGTCCCACCATCTCGTCCTCCATCGTCCCCTTCTCCTTGTGCCCTCCATCTTCCCCAACATCAGGGTCTTTTCCAGGGAGTCTTCTCTTCTCATGAGGTGGCCAAAGTCTTGGAGCCTCAGCTTCAGGATCTGTCCTTCCAGTGAGCACTCAGGGCTGATTTCCTTCAGAATGGAGAGGTTGGATCTTCTTGCAGTCCATGGGACTCTCAAGAGTCTCCTCCAACACCAGAATTCAACAGCATCAATTCTTCGGCGATCAGCCTTCTTGATGGTCCAGCTCTCACTTCCATACATCACTACTGGGAAAACCATAGCTTTAACTTTGCTAGAGAGGGCTTTTGGATTCAGGCTGACAAATAATTGCTCTCTGTACAGGGAACCTGGAACCTGCCAAATTATTATTATTATTATTTGCACATGCACACCTGGCAAATGTAAAATCTGCATGTGGAAACAGGGCTTTGCGCTCCGGGATGTGCAAAGGTCTGCTTCTCGCTCCTCCTCTTGAAACTGAGTTGCTGACAAGGGTCACTGGGCGGGTTCTTGCTTACAGAGACCAAGCTGAGAAGCTGCAACATTTAAATATAATTCCCAATACATTTGCTACAGTCTGTTTAGGGAGGCTTTTAATGTTTGATGTATTACTGTGTTTTAATATTTTGTTGGAAGCCACCCAGAGTGGCTGGGGAAGCCCAGCCAGATGGGCAGAGTATAAATAATAAATTATTATTATTATTATTATTATTATTATTATTAGGACGCGGGTGGCGCTGTGGGTTAAACCACAGAGCCTAGGACTTGCCGATCAGAAGGTCGGCGGTTCGAATCCCTGTGACGGGGTGAGCTCCCATTGCTCGGTCCTTGCTCCTGCCAACCTAGCAGTTCGACAGCACGTCAAAGTGCAAGTAGATAAATAGGTGCCACTCCAGCGGGAAGGTAAACGGTGTTTCTGTGCGCTGCTCTGGTTCGCCAGAAGCGGCTTAGTCATGCTGGCCACATGACCTGGAAGCTGTACATCGGCTCCCTCGGCCAATAAAGCGAGATGAGCGCCACAACCCCAGAGTCGGTCACGACTGGACCTAATGGTCAGCGGTCCCTTTACCTTTACCTTATCCTAGATATGGGATGCAGGTGGCGCTGTGGGTTAAACCACAGAGGCTAGGGCTTGCCAATCAGAAGGTTGGTGGTTCGAATCCCCGCGACGGGGTGAGCTCCCGTTGCTCAGTCCCTGCTCCTGCCAACCTAGCAGTTCGAAAGCACGTCAAAGTGCAAGTAGATAAATAGGTACCACTCCGGCAGGAAGGTAAACGGTGTTTCCGTGCGCTGCTCTGGTTCGCCAGAAGCGGCTTAGTCCTGCTGGCCACATGACCCGGAAGCTGTACGCCGGCTCCCTCGGCCAATAAAGCGAGATGAGCGCCGCAACCCCAGAGTCGGTTGCGACTGGACCTAATGGCCAGGGGTCCCTTTACCTTTTACCTTTATTATTATTATTATCTGAGCTCCTTTCACCACCTCCTCCCTCTCTTTGCAGATCAATCGAGGGACCTCTGCCGGGTTTCTCCTCCAGGCCCTTGTGCCCCTCCTGGATATAGCCACCCATCTCGCCGCCCTTCCAGGGCTCAGTTTGGAGGCTGCCCGCCACAGCCCAGACAACGCCTGGGTCTCCACGGTGGTGGGGCTCCCCCTGCTCGCCTTCGGCTTCCACTGGCTGAACGGGGACCGTGCCACGGCGAACGCCCTCTTGGGGGGCGCCCTGCTGCTGCTGCTGGCCGGCAGCTGGGGCTCCTTCTCCGAGGAAGGCAAGGCCATCGTGGCCCACTCTGTCACCTCGGTGGTCTCCATCAGCATCCTGATCGCTTCCATCTTCACCGGAAACGCCTGCGGGATTGCGGGCAGCCTCTTGGTGGGCACGGCTGGGGTGCTGGCAGGGACCCAGCTGCGGCGGCTACTGGTGCTCCGGAAAGAGGACGCCGTCTGCTGCCTCATGGCGGTGGCAAACCTGACTTTGCGGCGGGCTCTGCAAGCGCAGCACCGAGAACTGGACTGAGGGGGTGGGGACTGCGGGCAAGGGGGTCCGACGGGCAGTGGGGCCATCGCAGCATCAGGTGAGGAAAGGCTGGTCACGTCTGTTGGGGTGCCGCAAAGAGGCTTGGGAAATGGCCTCCAGGAAAGTCTTCAGGGAGCCTACGACTCTGGAAAGGGCGCTGCCTCTTGGGATACTGCCAGGGAGGCAGAGGCATCAGGCAGCCTCATCGTCGTCTCCGGACGATCACCGGTCTCCCGTGGAAACAGCATCAGCCAATTAGCGACACGAGCCTCAGACACATTCCAAGACTCATGCACACCCTTTTCAGCCTTTCTCCGCAACGGAAGATTCAGACAGAAGAGCATATTTACAGCTTTATTCAACGTAGGTCAGAACAAAGGAAAAACATGACTGCTTGCATCCGCGTCGAGGAAACAGCAGGAACAAAAGCTATATACAAAACGGAAGTTCCCAGCAAGAACAGTGCTGGGAGTAAACAGGCATGTGACACACGACAATCATGCCTGACTCTTTTAAGGAGGAACGGAGCTATATCCTAACATCCTCCCCCTTTACGTGTAACCTGTAGTACCTGTGGTTCAACCCAATTGCAACCTTTGTACATAAACCTTAAGTTGTTCTCTGTTAACAACCTTAGACAACAGATGAGCAGCAAGGGGTCCTGGGCACTGCCCATCTCAGGCAGCCAGCTTCTTCCTTTGCAGAGCTTGCTGGGTTTAGTGAGCTGGCAGAGATGGGCAAGGACTGCTGCGTCCTTGGAGCGTGGGTAGTGCCACCTCGCACTGCGAATGTCGGAAATCCCACTTCTGACACCAAAGATCCCCGCTGGTTTCTTTCACCCGGACCCTCGGCGCTTTCCTGGGTGCGCTGGTCAGGAAGCCAGGCCGAATTGGAACGGGTGGAAGTTATTAACTCAAGGTTTCGTTGCAGCAGGTTGCAACGGTGCTAGGTGTGTCACAGCTGTGAAACCAACAGGCTACTGGTTAAAAGGGCTCGCGTGCCTCTTGTCAGCCATAATAATAATAATAATTTATTATTTGTACCCCACCCATCTGGCTGGGCTTCCCCAGCCACCCTGGGCGGCTTCCAACAAAATATCAAAATACCGTAATACATCAAACATTAAAAGCTTCCCTAAACAGGGCTGCCTTCAAATGTCTTCTAAAAGTCTGGTAGTTGTTGTTCTCTTTGACATCTGGTGGGACGGCGTTCCACAGGGCGGGTGCCACTACCGAGAAGGCCCTCTGCCTGGTTCCCTGTAGCTTGGCTTCTCGCAGTGAGGGAACCGCCAGAAGGCCCTCGGTGCTGGACCTCAGTGTCTGGGCAGAATGATGAGGGTAGAGACGCTCCTTCAGGTATACTGGACTGAGGCCGTTTAGGGCTTTCAAGGTCAGCACCAAGGGTTTGAATTGTGCTCAGAAACGTACTGGGAGCCAAGACCGGTGTTATGTGGTCTCAGCGGCCGCTCCCAGTCCCCAGCCTAGCTGCCACATTCTGGATTAATTGCAGTTTCCGGGTCACCTTCAAAGGTAGCCCTACATAGAGCGCATTGCAGTAGTCCAAGCGGGAGATAACCAGAGCATGCAGCACTCTGGCAAGATAGTCTGCGGGCAGGGAGGGTCTCAGCCTGCGCACCAGATGGAGCTGGTAGACAGCTGCCCTGGACACAGAATTGACCTGCACCTTCATGGACAGCTGTGAGTCCAAAATGACTCCCAGGCTGCGCACCTGGTCCTTCAGGGGCACAGTTACCCCATTCAGGACCAGGGAGTCCTCCACACCCGCCCGCCTCCTGTCCCCCCAAAACAGTACTCCTATAGCCTGCCCGGGACTGACCAGCCAAGCAGAAAAAGCCAGGTATTCCCTTCACAGCTCCTCCTGGTGGGCCATCAAACGTGGGCGGCTGTCTTGACCCTGACGGGTCACCATGCGCAGCCTCTCTCATATGGGTCTTCCTGCCGGGTAGGGAGTCAACAGGTAAACATTGCGTTCACTGAAAACAGAACGAGGGTTGCGCAGTGGTAAGAGTTTCGAACTCGGACCTGGGAGACCAGGGTTCGAATCCCATGACACTCACCGGGTGACCTTGAGCCAGTCACTGCCTCTCAGCTGAGCCTCCCTCTCAGGGTTGTTGTGGGGAGAACAACAACCATGTATGCATCTCCACCCCCATCGTTCTGCCCAGACACTGAGGTCCAGCTCCGAGGGCCTTCTGGCGGTTCCCTCATTGTGAGAAGCAAAGCTACAGGGAACCAGGCAGAGGGCCTTCTCGGTGGTGGTGCCTGCCCTGTGGAACGCCCTCCCACCAGATGTCAAAGAGAACTACAACTACCAGACTTTTAGAAGACATCTGAAGGCAGCCCTGTTCAGGGAAGCTTTTAAAGTTTAATAGTTTATTGTATTTTAGTGTTCTGTTGGAAGCTGCCCAGAGTGGCTGGGGAAACCCAGCCAGTTGGGCTGGGTATAACTAAATTATATATTATTATTATTATTATTATTCCACCTTAAGCTCCTTAGAGGAGAAGGCAGCGTATACGAAATACAGACATCCCAGTTCACCTGCGACAATGCCCTCCCAGTGCAGATTTCCAAGCACAGAAGTGACGGAGGACGGGGTACCCTAATAAACAGCCGCCTGGGACCTCGGTCTCCCCAGATGAGTCTGCCAGCTGCCTGCTTCTTTTGCCACTCCAGGCGGCCTCAAGGGCACTTGGCTGCGCTTCAAGCGCCTGCATTTCATGCCTCACAAACACGCTGTTTCTGAGCTTGGGGGAGAGGCGAAGAATTCTCGCGGCTGTAAAACTAGAAAACAAACAAACCCCAGCCCCACATAAAGAGGCAAATAAAGATCTGATGCGCGGAGTGCGCGACATTTGCCCTGCTTCTTGCCATCTCCCGTCGGAGACAGGGAACTAGGCTGGGTCAGAGAAAGGCAGCCATCTGTGCCAACCTCTTACCACACCCCCGGAGGCTTAAGGCCTCTTCAGGAGCTCCTGGAGGAGAACAGACGGCCCTCTCTGGACATTGGCCTTGTGACTGGCATGTGACTGGCAGGGCGATGATCTCTCCGCGGATCCCTCGGAGGAAGAAGCCGCTTGGTCAAGTGGGCGGCTGACTCGGCTGGCCTCGCGAGGACAGACAAGGTAGAGGAGCAGTTGCCCTTGGCAAGACATTCCATGTCTCAGTTGGTGGAGGAGCTGGGTTGAGATGGGGGTGCCTCCTTCTGGCCCTGTTTTATGGGGTTCTGCCAGGCTGCCCCTCACCCTGGCAGAAGGGGGGTGCTCTCAAGGCCGGGCTGTGGGTATGTCTCTGGTGTTTGGACCAAGGATCTGAATACCAGTGGGGACAAGTGTAAGGTTCTACACATAGGCAGGACTAATCTGGATATACACATATAGGTTGGGGGACACCTAGCTTGGCATGTGAAAAGGATGTAGGGGTCTTGGTGGACCACAAGCTTAACATGAGCCAACAGTGTGATGCAGCAGCAAAAAAGGTTAATGTAATTCTAGACAAAAAAAGTTAATGCAATTCTAGGCTGTAAAAAGGTACAGTCATACTTCATGTTACAGCCGCTTCAGGTTGTGTTTTTTCGGGTTACAGACCCACCAAAACCCGGAAGTACCGGAACGGGTTACTTCCAGGTTTCAGCAATCGCGCTTTGCGCATGTGCAGAAGCGCCGGATCACAACCCGCGTGTGGCAGATGTGCCACTGCGGGTTGTGAACGCTGCGGGTTGCCAACGTGCATCCCCACGCACTGATCACGTTCACAACCCGAGCATCCACTGTAAAGGTAAAGGACCCCTGGGTGGTTAAGTCCAGACAAAGGCGGCTATGGGGTTTTAGCGCTCATCTCGCTTTCAGGCCAAGGGAGCTGGCGTTTGTCCACAGACAGCTTTCCGGGTCTTGTGGCCAGCAGAACTAAACCGCTTCTGGTGCAACGGGACACCGTGACAGAAACCAGAGCGCACTGAAACGCCGTTTACCTTCCCACCGCAGCCGTACCTATTTATAATAATAAAAATTTTTTATTTATACTCTGCCCTTCCCAGTTCAAAAACCGGGCTCAGGGTGGCTAACAACAAATTTAAAACACTTTTAATTATAAAAGCAGCATAAAATACAGTATAAAAACATGAATAACAATAAAATTCAAAAATCAATTTAGGGGAAATAAGCATTAGATAATCCCCAGGGCTGGCTGGCTGAATTGGTCCTACTTGGGCCAGTGAGGAGACCAGGGGAGAATGAGCTGTGGGGTCTCAGAGCAGGTGAGGGAAGGGAAATAAAAGATCAGGCTGAATTCAAATTAAAGGCCAGGTGGAATAGCTCTGTCTTACAGGCCCGTGAGAACAAGATGCTGGCCTGATCCAGCGGATTCTTACGTTCTTATCCTCCCTTTCCCTACACCCGCACACCTTTCCTAACCCTCATGCTCCCGCTTGTGGAGGAACCACATGTTGATGGCCTCCTTGCGCTTCCACTGGCAAGGGGGCGTTTATTTCCCCGTGGAAAAGGTAGCCGAAAATGGAGTTTCACTTTAAAAAAGGTTATGTGTGCCATTTAATCAGCCAGATCTTTTTCTGTACACGTTTTTGCCTGCTATGCCTTTCTGTTGAATGCGCTTCAATGTTTGCTAAAGACATCTGCGCTGAATGTCATGCAAGCCTTTGTTTGTTTTTCCATTTGCCAGCAGGTGGTTTTTAATCTCCACATTTACACCTGTCGTGGCTCTGCAGAGAAGTAATCCTGCACTGATGTGGATGATGATCATTATTACAGTCATGCGTTGTGTTGCATTTGCTTCAGGTTGAACGTTTTCAGGTTGCGTCCCACGGTGACCCGGAAGTACCAGAAAGGGTTACTTCCGGGTTTCGCCGCTCGCGCATGCGCAGACACTCAAAATGATGTCTCACACATGCACAGAAGTGGTGAATCGTGGCACGCGCAGACGCGGGTTGCGTTCTGCTCATTTTGCGAATGGGGCTCCGGAACGGATCCTGTTCGCAACCAGAGGTACCACTGTGTTATTATTATTATTATTAATATTATTAATACCCAGCCAATCTGTCTGGGCTTCCCCAGCCACTCTGGGCAGCTTCCAACAAAATATTAAAAATACAAAAAAATACAATAAAATAATACATCAAACATTAAAAACTTCCCTAAACAGGGCTGCTTTCAGATGTCTTCTAAAAGTCTGGTAGTTGTTTTTCTCTTTGACTTCTGCTGGGAGGGCGTTCCACAGGGCGGGTGCCACCACCGAGAAGGCCCTCTGCCTGGTTCCCTGTAGCTTGGCTTCTTGCAGGGAGGGAACTGCCAGAAGACCCTCGGAGCTGGACCTCAGCGTCCAGGATGGATGATGGGGGTGGAGATGCTCCTTCAGGTATACTGGGCTGAGGCCATTTAGGGCTTTCAAGGCCAGCACCATACTGAATGAAGGAGTCCAATGCATATAAGTAGGCATCCTTCAGTTTCTGTGTCCCCTTTGTGGGTCCACATTGTAGGGGGCTGGACTAAATGACTCTTCGGTTCACATTCCAGCTCTACAATTCCATTACTCACTTAAAAAACAAACAAACCAGAGATCTTTCCTTTAGGCATTTTACCACTAGAAATTAAAAAGGACATAAGACCGCTGTTTATGCATGCCACCACAGCAGCAAGAATTCTTGGGGCGAGGAAGTAGGAAAAATGAAACAGTACCAACAATCACAGATTGGCAGATACTCATGTTAGAATATTTACAACTAGCAAAACTGACGGGAAGAGTTAGAGGAGTATTGAACCAGAAAATATTTAAGGATTATATAAGAACGTATTGTACCCACTACACCATATTAGCAGAACTTGAGCGATACTTGAAAACACAACCAATACCGTTTGTGGAGTAGAGGGGAACAATATTAAAGAATATAAAACTGTGGGGGGGAATGATGACAGTATAAACAGTACAATGAGAATGACTGGAAGACTCATTTTGTCAGAAGTCTTTTTTATTTAAGTATTAATTAGGAAGATTAAGTTTTTTAATGCATGTAAATCTGTTTTTTCTTCTTTCTGTATTTTCTTTATATTTTTTCTTAATTCTTTTTCCTTTAATTTTCTTTTTGTACTATGAGATTGTAAATTCTTTGTATGTAATTTAAATTAATAAAGATTATTATTTTAAAAAATTAAGAAATGTGGAAATTAAGGTGATCCAACTTGGGCCGAGCTCTTCTAAGTAGCTGGCGTCTGGATCTGGGCTTTGCCACTTCCAGCAACGGGGAAGTGTTTGCGTACTGGATCCGTCCTTCTCCAGAAAGGAGGGAGAGATTGCAAACACCTATTCCCCTCCTTGAACAAACCCGACCACATTTCCTCCTCCCCACAGCTGAGCCCCGGCTTCAAGGTCTCCTTCTCTCGCTTGGCAAGGAGCATCTCTGCCCGTCAGGTGTGCGCCATACCTGCTGCTGGTGAAGAAGCTTAGCCATGGCAGGGACGAGGAGCCCCAGGTTCAAGATGATCCTCCTGGGGGATTTTGGGGTGGGGAAGACCACGCTCTTCCATCGGATCAAGCTGGGGCGTTTCCTGGAGGGAGACCACCCGCCCGGCCAGCACAGCTACACCTGCGAGAAAACCCTGCCCCTGAAGCTCAACAGCAGGAACTGCCAGGTCCAGGTAAGGGCCCGCTTCCCGGGCAGCTCATTTGGCTGGTGGCTTGCCTCTGGAACTCCCTGCCTCATGAAAGGGGGAAAGGGAGAGGGAGAATCAACAGGGTCTATGCACCTTCGTAAGCTCACTTGGGTGCTTGGGCTTATGCAGGGTGGGAGTTGATGGCTTGGTCCCTCTTACGATTCCGAGAGGGGCAGGGGCTCAATTTCCTTTAAAAAAAAATTATTCAAAATTGAAACAAAACATATTATCCAGAAACATATCCTTATTTTTCCCCATTTTTCCTCCCTCCTCCCACTCTCCCACACAAAAACCCACCCACCCCACCCCGGCTTCCCTCAGTTCCAGTCTTTGATTTCTCTAAGAATGCTGTTTTCTGCATGTTACACAGTTGTATAGATCCTCAAACTTTTTAGCTGATTATCATCAATAGAAAAGTTGTGAATGTTTATTCAAAGCCAGCCAAGGAGCCCAGTTCGCTTTGTTGCCTCTTCAAATACTTTGTAAAGGGTTCCCAATCATCTTTAAAGTCACAGTTATCCTCATCCCGTAGCTTATATGTCAGTTTTGCCAGTTCTGCATAGTCCCTCAATTTTTCTTGCCATGATTCTTTAGTTGGAGTTTCTTCAGTCTTCCATCCTTGTGCTATTAAAACTCTGGCGGCCGCATACATGAAGATGTTTTTCAGCTTTTTTGGTAGGTCTTTCCCTACAATCCCTAACAAAAATGCTTCAGGTTTTTTAACAAATGTTAGATGGAACATTTTCTTCAATTCGTTGTATATCGTTTCCCAAAATTTTTAAATTACATTGCAATCCCACCACATATGATAAAATGTCCCCTCCTTTTCCTTACACTCCCAACATATATTTGAACTAGTTTTATACATTTTCCCTAGCTGCACTGGTGTCATGTACCATCTGTACATCATTTTCATGTAATTCTCCTTCAATAGGGAACAATCTGTAAATTTTAAATCAGTTTTCCATAATTTTTCCCAATCTCCCATCATAATGATGTGACCTACATCTTGTGCCCATTTAATCATAACTGGTTTTACCTCTTCATCTTTTGTCTCCCATTCTAATAGTATGCTGTATGCAGCCTCCAGTAATTTCACTTTCCCTTCGATCACTTCCGTTTGAAACCTAGATCGGGGCTCAGTTTCCTGGGGGCCACATTGCTTGCTGTGGAAGCTGAGATTCACCTGCATGCTGCTCTGCATTCCCCTCTCAGAAAGGAGGAGGGCTGTTTCTGTCATGGAGGACGGGGATATAGGGTCTTGTGACCCATGTCTGTGTGTGGTGAATAATAAAAGAACCGGCTAGGTGTGCCTAGATTCAAAATTTGGGGCTTAACACGCTCTCCAGTGGGAGGGAGCCCCCAGCAGCAGAGTTTAAACTCACAAAGTTGGACACCCTTCCAGCTTGATAAATGCAGTGATTCTACGAATTAAACCTTTTGCAAATCCTGTTTAGTCCACTTGCAAAGCGTCCCCCTCTTTCCACCCTTCTTGCAATGAACAGACCACACACTGTTAAGTACAGTCATAACTCGGGTTACAGATGCTTCAGGCTGAGTTTTTTCAGGTTAGGGACCAGCCAAAACCCAGAAGTACCAGAATGGGTTGGTTTCGGGGGTTGCGCATGTGCAGATGCGCTAAATTGCACTTTGCGCATGCACAGAAGCGCCGAATCGCAACCCGCACGTGCACAGACGTGCCGCTGAGGGTTGCGAACGTGCATCCCGCACAGATCACGTTCGCGACCCGAGCCTCCACTGTAACTTTTAAATGATTTACTTACAAAACATTCCAAAGGTCCGATTCATGCATTTATCCAAACAGCAGCATGGAGAACGTAGGCAGAATCCTCTAGGGTAGAAAATACAGAATATAATTCCAAACGCAGGTTCAAAGCTTTGGAGATGGCTTCGACGCATCCCACCTGGTGGGTTACATGGTGTGGAGAAGAAGTGAGGCACAGGAAGAGAAGGCTTCTTCACTCATCAGAGAAGAGGGGCATGACCTAACTGCGTCTAGGAACACAGCTCTATTGTCTTAACCCCTTCATGTACCAACTAGTACCCATGTACAGTTTGACTGCAATTTTCCACATTTATGGCACCCAACTTTTCGAACTCTCAGCATTGAAGTCCTGAATAAATCCTAGCACTGACGGGTGAATATGATCTTCTTCTTCTCCTCCTCCTTTTCCTCCTTGTGTGATTCCTGCATTGCAGAGTGTTGAACTAGATGACCCTTGGGGGTCTACAGTTCTATTATTCTGTTTCCCACACTTCACCTGCACGCCCCAGGGCAGGTTACAACAATTCGAAATTCAGAATTAGAAACAGTGAAAGCAAATCACAGTCACAGGAATTGGGTGGGTCCTGAAAACACACATCTCAGGTGTCAAAGATCAGGGCAGAGAGGTGTGTTTTCAGCATTTGCTGAAAGCTGCATAAGAAAAGTGCCAGGCACGCCATGTGGGGAATTCCACAACCCATGAGCTGCCACAGAGACACCCTTTTACGATACGATAATCTTTATTGTCATTGTCCCACACAGAACAACGAAATTGAAAAAAATCTACACCAGACATTCAAAAAGCAACAAGCCTGCTATCCCAGCCTGGTTAGCCCCCTAAAAACTCTGACACCCCATAATTAAATACAATATACTCCCATAGAGACTACCTTACACTGCGTTTAAAACCAAAATCGCATTTGGATAAAAACTGTTTCTCAGGCGGCTAGTCCTAGTCTTTATAACCCTGGACCTTCTTCCAGAAGGCAGGAGCTGAAAGAGATCGTTTTTGGGGTGCGCACTATCCTGCGCTATCTCTGCAGCTTTCTTATGACACCTGGAAGCGTAGATTTGATCCAAGGTGGGAAGAGTGCACCCAATTATTCTCTCCGCAGTCTTTACAACCCAGGACAGCATTGTTTTTTCCCTGGCCGTGCAGCTCCCAAACCACACACAGAGACCATAAGTTAATACACTCTCCACAGTACAATGGTAAAATGCCATCAACAGGTCCTTTGAGAGATTGTTTTTGCGCAGGGTTCTCAGAAAATATAACCTCTTCATCAGGTCTTTGCTGTTTTCTCCCCAGGTTAGGTCATTTCTCAACTCCATTCCCAGAAATCAAAACACTGAGACCTGTTCCGCACACTTCCCCTCAATAATAAGTGGCTGAATATTCAATTTACATTTCCTAAATAATTAATAATAATAATAATTTATTATTTATGCCCCGCCCACTCTGGGCAGCTTCCAACCAAATATTAGAATACAGTGATACATCAAACATTAAAGCTTCCCTAAGCAGGGCTGCCTTCAGATGTCTTCTAAAAGTCTGGTAGTTGTTTTTCTCTTTGACATCTGGTGGGAGGGCGTTCCACAGGGAGGGCGCCACTGCCGAGAAGGCCCTCTGCCTGGTTCCCTGTAGCCTCACTTCTCGCAATGAGGGAACCGCCAGAAGGCCCTCGGGGCTGGACCTCAGTGTCCGGGCAGAACGATGGGGGTGGAGACGCTCCTTCAGGTATTCTGGACCGAGGCCGTTTAGGGCTTTCAAGGTCAGCACCAACACTTTGAATTGTGCTCGGAAACGTACTGGGAACCAATGTAGGTCTTTCAAGACTGGTGTTATATGGTCTCAGCGGCCGCTCCCAGTCACCAGTCTGGCTGCCGCATTCTGGATTAGTTGTTTCTGGGTCACCTTCAAAGGTAGCCCCATATAGAGTGCATTGCAGTAGTCCAAGCGGGAGATAACTAGAGCATGCACCACTCTGACAAGACAGTCTGCGGGCAGATAGGGTCTCATCCTGCGTACCAGGTGGAGCTGGTAAACAGCTGCCCTGGACACAGAATTGACCTGCACCTCCATGGACAGCTGTGAGTCCAAAATGACTCCCAGGCTGCGCACCTGGTCCTTCAGGGGCACAGTTACCCCATTCAGGACCAGGGAGTCCTCCACACCCGCCCGCCTCCACAATTATCTCTTTTGTTTTCTTTAAGTTAAGGAGTAAGTTGTTTTCTGAGGCAGCCATCGCCCAGATCTTGACAGGGTCTGCAGGAAAGAAAAACGACAGAGGGCCATGTCATACCTGACTAGGCCATCACAAAAACCTAGATGAATGCCGCTCTAGTTCCAGTCAGTCTCCCATAAGTTTCCTGCAGCAGGGAGTTCCCCTGTTCAGTGCTCTAACCACCTGCTCTTTCGACCTGCGCAGATTTCCCTGTGGGACACGGCTGGGGAGGAGCGCTTCCTGTCCCTGAGCAGGAGCTACTACCGGGACGCGGATGCTGTGCTCCTCGTGTACAGCCTGCAGCACCTTCTCTCCTTTGACAGCCTCTTGCACTGGCTGTACCTGGCCAGGCAGTACTGTGCGGATGGTAAGTGAGAGGGCAGTGGGAAAGGAAGAGTCCCAGGGTACGCAGAGGGGTCGATTGCCACTTTCCCCCCTCCGCCTCCGCGCCTGCGCCTTTATCAGCAGCCTGACACGCAGATGCAGAATCATAGGGTTGCAGAGCTGGACAGGACCCCAAGGGTGTCACGGTCCGGTTCACGGCGATCGAAGTCCCGGCAGGGGACGTCGGGACCAGGGGCAAGATGGTGGGGTGGGAGCAGGAACGCGGGTCCAGAAGCCAGGAAGCCAAGAGTCTGAGGGTCAGAGAGCCGGGAGTCAAGAAGTCAAGGGTCCGAGGGTCAGGAAGCAAGGAGTCACGAAGCCAGGGGTCCGAGGGTCGAGAAGCAAGGAGTGACGAAGTCAAGGGTCTGAGGGTCGAGAAGCAAGGGGTTAAGGAGTCAAACGCATCAAGGCAGGGAACATGTTGCTGTGGCAAAGAGCCGATGGGAAAATGCTGACCTTATATCCCTTCCCGGCTCTTGCCACCAGGTGCTGTGAGTTACCAATCGACCTCACCTGTGTGGCTGCACCTTGCCCCTCCAGAACAAACTTAGGAAGGCCCCAGTCCTGCAAAGTCCTATTGGACACAGGGCTTGGCTCCTGCACTCACACCTGACCAAGGGTCGCAATGCATGGCACATTTATTCAATTAAAAGTATTTTGGTTGATGAATTTGGTAAAACAGATGAACTTGATCCAGTCCTACGGTGGTAGTCATTTCCACCTCCCTGCTGTAATCTGCCATTGCCAGCTGTTTTTGTACTACAACGCCCATCATCCCTAGCTAGCAGGTCCAGTGGTCAGGGATGATGGGAATTGTAGTCCCAAAACACCTGGAGGCCCAAGTTTGGGAAGGCCTGCCCTAGGTAATCCCACTGACCACCAGGAGGCAGTATTGGCCACTCTGAGAAGCATTGTCCTAAATCAGGCATAGGCAAACTCAGCCCTCCAGGGGCTGCTATGTTGGCAGGAGCAGGGACCGAGCAACGGGAGCTCACCCCGTCGCAGGGATTCGAACCACCGACCTTCTGATCAGCAAGACCTAGGCTCTGTGGTTTAACCCACAGCGCCACCCGTGCCCCTCATATAATCCACTACTTTCTCCCAAATCTTAAAAAGTATAAGACATTGTAAAAACATGTTTTAAAGAAGCATTATCCTTATTACATTTCCAACAAAATGCAGTCTTAGGCAGTCCTTTTCTATACAAACATAGTGGAGTTCAATAAATTCAAAATATTATTTTCTGTTGTATAAGTCACAATTTAAGTCATATACCTTTGCTATAGAAGTGAAAACACTCTCCCATTGTCTAGGCAACACGGCAACCACAAGTTCTTTTTTCCAATCATTTCTTAACATCTGCCTGTCAAATTGATAACAAATAATAATAATATTATAATAATTTATTATTTATACCCCGCCCATCTGGCTGGGCTTCCCCAGCCACTCTGGGCGGCTTCCAACAGAACACTAAAATACAATAACCTATTAAACATTAAAAGCTTCCCTAAAGAGGGCTGCCTTCAGATGTCTTCTAAAAGTCTGGTAGTTATTTTTCTCTTTGACATCTGTTGGGAGGGCGTTCCAAGGGCGGGTGCCACCACCAAGAAGACCCTCTGCCTGGTTCCCTGTAACTTGGCTTCTCCCAGTGAGGGAACCACCAGAAGGCCCTCGGAGCTGGACCGCAGTGTCCGGGCAGAACGATGGAGGTGAAGACGCTCCTTCAGGTCTACTGGACTGAGGCTGCTTAGGGCTTTCAAGGTCAGCACCAACACTTTGAATTGTGCTCGGAAATGTACTGGGAGCCAATGTAGGTCTTTCAAGACTGGTGTTATGGTCTCGGCGGCTGCTCCCAGTCACTAGTCTAGCTGCCGCATTCTGGATTAGTTGCAGTTTCCTGGTCACCTTCAAAGGTAGCCCCACGTAGAGCGCGGTCCAAGCAGGAGATAACTAGAGCATGCACCACTCTGGCGAGACAGTCTGTGTATGTTGAAAAGCATGGGGGAGAGGACAGAACCCTGAGGCACCCCACAAGTGAGAGCCCAGGGGTCTGAACATTCATCCCCCCCCCCACTTTCTGAACACGGCCCAGGAGGAAGGAGCGGAACCACCGTATAACAGTGGCCCCAGTTCCCAGCCCCTCAAGACGGTCCAGAAGGATGTTATGGTCGATGGTGTCCAAAGCCGCTGAGAGATCCAGCAGAACCAGGAATATCTATAAAAAGTCATTGTGGGTGGTGGTTTTTTGTTTTAATAAACTTAACCAGTAGTATCTCAGGAGTCTCAGAAGCTGAAAACGCTGCTGGCCCAAACAAAATTGTTAACAAATGTTGGAGCTGCAAATATCCTTCCACCATACATGAACTGGCCGCCTCCTGCCCTGCCAGGGGCTCAGAGCCTTTAGCCCCAGCACCAGTTCTCAGATCTTTCTGTTCTTTCTCCCTCGCCCCCGCCAAGCCAATCTCTTCCTCCTGGGCAACAAGAGTGACCTGGAGAGCTGCGTCCCCGAAGAGAAGGCTGAGAGGTTTGCAGTGGAGCACGGCGCGTCCGGCAGGTTCAAGGTGTCGGCCAAGACAGGTAAGGAGGGGAGGGTCGCCTCGTCTTTCCGGCTGAACTGAGAGAGGAGGTGATGCAAGTGAGGTTGGTGTAAACAGCAGGGGCAGCGATTCCACTGACCCACCAAGCACAGAAGGAGCAGGAAGGGGCTTGAAACAGGGGACGGCGGTGGCGGACTATCGGGGGCCGCATTCCTTTCAACATTGCAGGGGTCACAGGCTTGGGAACAATGGCTGAGGCCAGGGATAATAATAATAATAATAATAATAATAATAATAATAATAATAATAATAATAATAATAAAAAAATAAATTATTTGTACCCCGCCCATCTGGCTGGGTTTCCCCAGCCACTCTGGGCGGCTTCCATCAAAAGATTAAAAATACATTATAACATCAGTCATTAAAAGCTTCCCTAAACAGGGCTGTCTTCAGATGCCTTCTGAACGTCAGATAGTTGTTTATCTGACATCTGAAGGGAGGGCATTCCACAGGGAGGGCACCACCACCGAGAAGGCCCTCTGCCTGGTTCCCTGAAACCTCCAGAAGGCCCTCGGCACTGGACCTCAGTGTCCGGGCTGAACAATGGGGGTGGAGACGCTCCTTCAGATATACAGTTGGAGGATGGATGGTGGCTAACAGATTGAGGTTGAATCCTGACAAGACAGAAGTACTGTTTTTGGGGGACAGGAGGCGGGCGGGTGTGGAGGATTCCCTGGTCCTGAATGGGGTAACTGTGCCCCTGAAGGACCAGGTGCGCAGCCTGGGAGTCATTTTGGACTCACAGCTGTCCATGGAGGCGCAGGTCAATTCTGTATCCAGGGCAGCTGTCTACCAACTCCACCTGGTACGCAGGCTGAGACCCTCCCTGTCCACAGACTGTCTCGCCAGAGTGGTGCATGCTCTAGTTATCTCCCGCTTGGACTACTGCAATGCGCTCTATGTGGGGCTACCTTTGAAGGTGACTCGGAAACTACAACTAATCCAGAATGCGGCAGCTAGACTGGTGACTGGGAGCAGCCGCCAAGACCATCTTGAAAGACCTACATTGGCTCCCAGTACGTTTCCAAGCACAATTCAAAGTGTTGGTGCTGACCCTGAAAGCCCTAAACGGCCTCGGTCCTGTATCCCTGAAGGAGCGTCTCTACCCTCATCATTCTGCCCGGACACTGAGGTCCAGCACTGAGGGCCTTCTGGCGGTTCCCTCACTGCGAGAAGCCAAGTTACAGGGAACCAGGCAGAGGGTCTTCTCAGTGGTGGCGCCCTCCCTGTGGAGCGCCCTTCCAGCAGATGTCAAAGCGATAAACAACTATCTGACATTCAGAAGACATCTTAAGGGAGCCCTGTTCAGGGAAGTTTTTTAACGTGTGATATTTTAGTGTATTTTTGGTTTCTATGGAAGCAAACTGCCGCAGTCTGATTGGTCCTAGAACAATAGGATCCAAATTGCAGCAGTCTGATTGGTCCTAGAACAATAGGATTCAGAATGCAGCAGTCTGGTTGGTCCTAGAACAATGTAGCAGTATGATTGGTTGGCAGGAACCACCCAATCATGCTCCAGATATAAGTGAATCCACAACCTGATTGGCTTACAGTAGAATTCCAGAAGTAGCCAATCATGTGCAGCCCATTGTGTAAATAATGTATATAAAGCAGATACTTTGAGGGGACTTTCATTCATTCCTTCTCACCACTATGAGCTGAATAAAGAGCATGAAATCACTTTGCGACTCTGAGTATATTTCACCCACGTAGAGCGCATGGCAGTAGTCCAAGCGGGAGATAACTAGAGCATGCCCCACTCTGGCAAGACAGTCCCCGGGCAGGTAGGGTCTCAGCCTGTGTACCAGATGGCGCTGATAAACAGCTGGCCTGGACACAGAATTGACCTGTGCCTCCATGGACAGCTGAGTCCAAAATGACTCCCAGGCTGTGCACCTGGTCCTTCAGGGGCACAGTTACCCCATTCAGGATCAGGGAGTCCTCCACACCCGCCCGCCCCCTGTCCCCCAAGAACAGTACTTCTGTCTTGTCAGGATTCAACCTCAATCTGTTAGCCACCATCCATCCTCCAACTGCCTCCAGACACTCACACAGGACCTTCACAGCCTTCATTGGTTCCAATTTGAAAGAGAGGTAGAGCTGGGTATCATCCGCACACTGATGAACACCCAGTCCAAACCTCCTGATGATCTCTCCCAGCGGCCACGTGTAGATGTTAAAAAGCATGTTCTTATGGAGGGGATATGGCCTAGAGAGAGTCTCAGAACCCAGCTAGAGAGTCCTGGAAGTCCAAAAGAAGCGAGTACCATGGTGAAATTTACTTTTGCATCTCTGCGCACTTTTGCCTCTGACAATTGCTTGGCTGCTTCTCTTTGACACCTCCTAGAGCTTTCCATTTACAGCAGCTTTCTGTTTCCACATCTGCTGAGGCTCCCCTTCCTTCCTTCCTTCCTTCCTTCCTTCCTTCCTTCCTTCCTTCTTTCCCCCAGGTTCTTTAGCTTCTTACTCTGCTAATGGGCGGGCGTTTTCGAAGATGCCAAGTCAGCCTCGTAAAGTTGTCACCGAGAGTCAACATAACTTCCCCAGGCAGCTGGCACAAAATGACACAGAGATCGAGCTGTGCTTGGCATCCTGCTGAGTCCACCGTGTCTGATCTGCTCTTTGCCTAAACGGCCGAGGTTAGCAGAGTCCAAATGAACAGGTTAATCATGGAAGCATAGAATTCTAGAGCTGGAAAGGACCTCCAATGGTCAAAAGTGTTTTAAATTTGTTGTTAGCCACCCTGAGCCCTGTTTTCTGAAGCAGGAAGGGCAGGGTATAAATAAAAATTATTATTATTATTATTATTATTATTATTTAGTCCAACCCCATGCAATGCAGGAATCGGCGCTAAAAAATCCTTGACAGATGGCCGTCCAACCTCTGCTGAAAAACCTCCAAGGAAGGAGAGTTCATCGCCTTTTGAGGGAGTCTGTTCCACTGTCAAACAGCTCTTGTTGCCAGAAAGCTCTTGCTGGTGTTTAATTGGAACCCCATTTCTTGCAGCTTGAAGTCATTGGTTCGAATGCTGCAAGCTTGCTCCATCTTCCATGTGACAACCCTTCAGATATTTAGAGATGGGTATCCTGTCTCCTCTCAGTCTCCTCTTTTCAAGGCTAAACATACCCAGTTCCTTCAACCATTCCTCATCAGGCTTAGTTTCCAGAACCTTGATCAGGCATAGGCAAACTCGGCCCTCCAGATGTTTTGGGACTACGACTCCCATGATGCCTAGCTAACAGGACCAGTGGTCAGGGATGATAATAATAATAATAATAATAATAATAATAATAATAATAATAATTTATTTATATCCTGCCCTCTCCAGCCAAAGCCGGGCTCAGAGTGGCTAACAACAATAAAAGTAACACAGTTTACATAAAATCACAATCAATTAATTGAAATACATTCTAAAATCAATTCATTCTAAAATCAATTCAGAATCAAATTCAAATTCATGGCAACCATTGGGCTAGAGTTCTGAGGATTACCAAAGAAGGGGGTCAGACTGTGCCTTGGCCAAAGGCCTGGTGGAACAGCTCCGTCTTGCAGGCCTTGCAGAAAGAGGTCAAATCCTGCAGGGCCCTAGTCCCTTGTGACAGCATTCCACCAGATCGGGGCCACGGCCAAAAAAGCCCTGGCTCTGGTTGAGACCAGCCTAACCTCCCTGTGGCCCAGGACCTCCAAGATATTTTTGTTTGAAGACCATAAGGTCCTCCGTGGGACATACCAGGAGAGGAGGTCCCGTAGGTACAAGGGTCCTAACCCATATAGGGCTTTAAAGGTTAAGACCAGCACCTTAAACCTGATCCTATACTCCACAGGGAGCCAGTGCAGCTGGTATAGCACTGGGGGAATGTGATCTCGCAGTGAGGACCCCGTAAGGACTCTCGCCGCGGCATTCTGCACCCACTGGAGTTTCTGGGTCAGTCTCACGTGGAGCGAGTTACAATAATCCAGTCTGGAGGTGACCATTGCGTGGATCACAGTGGCTAGGATGATGGGAATTGTAGTCCCAAAACATCTGGAGGGCTGAGTTTGCCTATGCCTGAGCTTGATCACCTCATTCGCCCTCCTCTGCACACGTTCCAGCTTGTCAACATCCTTCGTAAATTGTGGTGCCCAGAACTGAACACAGGACTCCAAGTGTGGTCCGACCAAGGCAGAACAGAGCGGAACTACGGTATTACTTGCCTTGATCTGGGCACCAGATTTCTGCTGACGCAGCCTAAAGCAGCATTAGCTTCTTTTGCTGCGGCATCACACTGCTGCCTCTTCTCCTCTGGGCTCCTTCCCCTGCCCCCAGCATGCAATTAGGCAGAAGCCTGCCGGTTGCTCAACCTTGCTTTAAATAGCATTTATTAGCTTGCGCCAGTCTTGCGTGAAGCTGTGGGGTTGGCAGCAGGTTGGGTAGGCGCTAATTACCCGCCCGGCTGCCAAGCAAGGTCACGAAGGGCCTTCAAGCCAATCTGACAGGCGGAGGAAGGTAGGGGTGGGGTGGTGGTTTGCAAGCGCGCCAGCCAGACTTCACTGGAGGAATGTGCATCTCTCAGGGGGTTGAGATAATGAATGGGTGCGCAGCAGCAGGTTCTATTTCTGGACCGGCAAGCACCGGCAGAGAAGGGCGCTTTGCTAATATTAAGTAATACAGCAGTCTGCTTTCCTGGCACAGAACATTGGGAGGGGCAGAGACGGTCTGTGCCAACAACGCTGCTATTATTGTGGTACCTCCAGTCCATCAAAGAGCCTCCCTCCCACCTCACCTTCATCCACAGACTCGGCGCCTTTTTTTATATATATATACATTTTTATTAATTTTTTAACATATCATTTCCACCAGTCATTTAACATACGTTTTTATCTTATACATTGTTTTTTAGACTCCTGTCAACTACCTCTGAAGATTTTCCATACTTTATCACTTAATCTGCATTTCTTAATTTCTCTGTTACTTTTAATTATCCTTAACCAATATTCTCTTCATAATCTTCCTTGCAATATTTCGCATAATCCTCCTTACAAAACTTCTTGCAGTCCTACTAGCGTAATCTGTTTATTACAATTGCTTTGCAAATAGTTCAAATATTTACTCCAGTCCTCTTAAGAATCTTTGGTACCGCAGGTTTCGAATCCCTCCTGTCATTTTGTCTAATTCTGCAGAGTCCGTTAATTTCATTTGCCACTCTTCCTATATACCTGTAATAATCAGAATACGTGCAAACAGGAGACTTGCCTGCCCACTGCCTGGCCTTCTTCCTCTCTCCCTCTCCCTCTTCCCCCTCCAACCTGGCCCAGGCTTCCTTCTCTCCTCTCTTCCAGGTGAGAACGTGGAGCGCAGCCTGCAGGAGATGCTGGAGAGGCTGTTCCTCAGGAAAGAATTCCAGCACAGCAGCCTCCATCTCCCCCTGCAAGATGCAGGCTATGGCCAATGTGGATGCTGAGCGTGGGAGAGCCTCCTGCCGCAGGATTTTAGAGGATGCTTCAGGTAGCCTTTGGTCTCAGGTAGCCTTTGGTCTCGGGTAGCTTTTCTCTGTGCGTTTGCCGCATATCGGATCGGGACATTTGCCACTTCCATGGAGACGGCTGGGCTATAGCAGCCGCCTGTGTCTGACCTGAAGAGTCTCTGTAGCATATTCTGCTGTGGCGCTGGTACCCTTGGCTGGAAGTCATCTTGGTGGGCCAATGAAAGCCTTCCTCACTTCACCTCCATCAATGCTTCTCTTTGGAGACCTGTGGGCCATTTCCTGCAGGATGCTGAGCTGACGAACTGACCCCACTGTGGACACACAACCAACTTCTGGGAACTGCGGCTTCTGAGCTACTATGGGATCTGGGGGGGGGGGTTATATGTGTGAGGGTGCAATCCTTGGCCTCTCCCCATGTCCTGTCGGTGTTCCAAACAAGGCAGTACATCATCCTTGCTCTCCTCCTCCTGTTCCAAATTTTCTCTTCTTAAGAAGAGTCTGCAAGATCAGGCCAAATGGGGACCAGCTAGTCCAATATCCTGATCTCACAGTGGCTGACCAAATGCCCATTATGGGAAGCCAGCAAGCAAAACCTGAGCACAAGGATATAAATAAATTATTATTATTATTATTATTGTTATTATTATTATTATTATTATTATTATTATGGCCATCTCCCCTCTTGTGGTTTCTAGCAACTGGGATTCAGAAGCATGGCAGCCTCCAGCTATTCCATAACAAGAATAATACCGTATTTTTCGCTCTGTAAGATGCACTTTTCCCCTCCTAAAAAGTAAGGGGAAATGTGTGTGTGTGTCTTATGGAGCGAATGCAGGCTGCGCAGCTATCGCTGAAGCCAGAACAGCAAGAGGGATTGCTGGGATTCAGAATATTTTTTTTCTTGTTATCCTCCTCCAAATACTAGGTGCGTCTTATGGTCTGATGCGTCTTATAGAGCGAAAAATACGGCAAATAGCAGATTTTGTCCTTCCCATCACTTGAGAGACATGTCACTTCTGAGATGCCCTTTTTTTCCTATGAAAGGGGCTGACACAAATTCTGCTGAGGTTGTTGCTATCAAATTTAAGCTAGCATCATCAATGCATGCAATGTTCAGCTTGTGCAATGGGACATCCCCCTCAAAACTGACTCTGGGGGAGTCGGAATAAGCCCTGGAACAGCACGCATAGGGATGGCTCTGTCTGGTGAGCTGAAATGCTTGTGGAGGCAGAACGTTGATCACAGCGTGACATTGAATCCCACCCTATAAACCTGCATTTCTGGCATGTTGGAGACAGCAGAATACTTAAGCAATGACTTTGTGCTCCATTTGAGGTACGCAACAATGACCTTCTGAGGAAGGAGGTACTTTGCAATAGCATGGCATTAAGAGAGACATTTTCCTCTTTTGCGGCCAGAGAATGACTCAGCAGTCTCACTGAAAATCCAAGTAAACATGCTTAAAATTATGCTGGGAGGCCCCTAATTGTCTTTGATTTGCTACTTCTTAAAAGGCAAGGGCTCTGTGCCTTCGTGGCTGCCTGATGACAGGTAGAAATCAACAGCTGGAGAAATCTCTCGGCTTGGAGATGTCAGCTCTGAAGCAAGAGCTTCCTCTGATTTCTGCCTGCAATGATTTCTACAAAAAATAAAACCCAGTTCAGCACCTGTTTCTTGTTTGTACTGCACATGGGAGCAAAAAGCAAAGCCAAGCCTAAGAAAAGAACAGGCAGCACATCTAAATCTTCATTTCTCTGAATTTCCCTGAACAAGGAACAGTAGCGTCTGAATAGGACTGCCTGGTCGTGAGCATCCTAGACCCTGAGATTCCAGGACCCAAACCTTAGACTTAGGGGAAGCTTCTGCTGATGTCATTGGGGCATTCCCTGGTGATGTCACAGGGCTGGGTCCTGGTGATTCTCCCTCTTACCACTGAGCCCTGGAGATGGAGGTTAATTGGGAGAGGGGAAGGGGGCAGATCCCAGAGAGTTTATGTGAGAATTATCCTGCCAGGCTGCAGCTTGCAAACTGCACTCATAGTCTTCTTAATATAAATAAATAAAAATAAAGGCGTACTTGCCTACCCGGAGATTCAAACCCACACCTTCTCCCCTGTAGGGAGGTCCAAAAATTGTACGACAAATAAATGTTTCTCTTCTTTACCACCCTGTTGCACTTTTGCTCCGACTTCCAGTTCCAGTTGCATTCTCGTTTGCAGCCTATTGCAGAAACTAAGGAAGGTGGATTTGAATTCCTCTCCCTTTTCAGGTAACACAGATAAAAGTAAAAGGAGGCAATACAAAGGACTCAGCCCTAAGCCCTCCACTGAACAAGGCGGCTTAGACCCTTTCCATTCATCACATGGAAAAGAGCTAGGAGCCAGGCTTTGTGACAGCTGGAAATCTGGAAGAGAAAGCACACACATCTGGCCGGGTGGGTGATGGCAAATGGTTGCCTGACTGAATTTGTGAAGCTGAAGGTTGGAAAATCCAGGGCAGGTCAAAGGAGTCATTTCTTCATCCCTTTATGTGGAACATTTTAGAGAGTTGGGTATGTTTGGCCTGGGAAAAAGGAGTCTGAGAGGACATATGCTAGCTAGACGCCTTCAAATATCTGAAGGGCTGTTGTTATAGGAATTCTAAGGTGTCATATATATAAATCACATGTTCATAAATGTACAAGGCAAACACACATGCATAAGTATAATGTCTGAAACAGTACAGGAGAGCAATCCTGAAGGCATTTCGACTTTCCCAAATTGACCTCAAATATTTCCTTGCAAGGAGGAAGGAAATGGGAAAAGCTTTCCAGTTGTCTTTGGACCGTAGGCGCTTACACCTACCTTTTCAAATACAGTCTGGCAATTATCTGCTAAGCTGAGCAAACTATGAATATATATAAGAGATTCAGGAACTAAACTATTTACCATCTCAAAGGAATGGCCAGGATGCCCAGGTATAAGCATTCAGTGACCATTAGCAGGTATCCTGGAAGACAGGTTTTCTGCTGTAGACCCGCCTCCTTCAGTGATGTATGTATGATGTTTTGGGTGGTGGTCTTGAGCTACAAGGGAGGCAATTTCAAAAAGTCTATAAAAGGGCTTGCACACAATTGTTCTAGGTTCCTCTCCTGCCGCCTGTGTGTGGTGAGTGAGGACCCTGTTGCAACAGTTTAATAAAGATCAGGCTTACTTGCTTCTCAACATTCTCTGGTTGGCCTCTGTTATTTTCTCCTACCGATAGAGAACCTATTTAAGGACTATACGAGCTCTTAGATACCCCATAAGGGAAAAGGAGCAGTATTTTTCTTATAACAGCTGTCATATGGAGGACGGAACAAGCTTGTTTTCTCCTGCTCTGTAAGGGAGAACCCAAATCCCCAGACTCAAGTTACAGGAAGGGAGATTTGATAGTAATAATAATAATAATAATTTATTATTTGTACCCCACCCATCTGGCTGAGTTTCCCCAGTCACTCTGGGTGGCTTCCAACAAAGATTAAAAATACATTAAAATGTCACACATTAAAAACTTCCCTGAACAGGGCTGCCTTCAGATGGCTTCTAGATGTCAGGTACTGTAGTTGTTTATTTCCTTGACATCTGATGGGAGGGCGTTCCACAGGGCGGGCGCCACTACCAAGAAGGCCCCCTGCCTGGTTCCCTGTAGCTTTGCTTCTCGTAGGGAGGGAACCACCAGAAGACCCTCGGCGCTGGACCTCAGTGTCCTGGCAGAACGATGGGGGTGGAGACGCTCCTTCAGGTCTACTGGACCGAGGCTGTTTAGGGCTTCCAAGGTCAGCACCAACACTTTGAATTGTGCTCGGAAACGTCCTGGGAGCCAATGTAGGTCTTTCAAGACCGGTGTTATGTGGTCTCGACGTTCGCTCCCAGTCACCAGTCTAGCTGCCGCATTCTGGATTAATTGCAGTTTCCGGTCATCTTCAAAGGTAGCCCCACGTAGAGCGCATTGCAATACAGTGGTACCTCGGGTTACAGACGCTTCAGGTTACAGACTCCGCTAACCCAGAAATAGTACCTTGGGTTAAAAACTTTGCTTCAGGATGAGAACAGAAATCGTGCTGCGGCAGCAGGAGGCCCCATTAGCTAAAGTGTTGCTTCAGGTTAAGAACAGTTTTAGGTTAAGAACAGACCTCCGGAACGAATTAAGTTCTTAACCCAAGGTACCACTGTAGTCCAAGCAGGAGATAACTAGAGTAAGAGCTGTTTGTCGAAAAGGTGGTGGCCTCTCCTTCCTTGGAAGTTTTTTGTTTGTTTTTTTTAAGATATTTATTAAAGTTTTCAAATTTAATAGAATCAAAAAGAATCAAAAAGAAAAAAGCAAAAAAGTTTAAAAACACATAAAGTTCACAATGCTTATTTTTCAATAACATATTTCCCTGACCTCCTCACACCTCCCCTTCTTGTATTCCAATTCAAATTGTTAGTTCAGCAAATCCTTATCCTTAATTTTTAACCTATTTCTATACCCTTCCCCCCCCCATAGTTTTTAAGCAGAGGTTGGGCGGCCATCTGCCACAGATGCTTGAGCTGAGATTCCTGCATTGCAGGGGGTTGGACTAGATGACCCCTGGGGGTCCCTACAAGTCGGTGGGTCTATTCTCTGGCTCTTCCAGAGCAGGTGGGCCTAACTCAGCTGTTACAGCATCACACCTTTCGGACTACAACTCCCATCAGCCCCTGCGGCGCGAGGTGGGCCTGACAGGAGTGGCTGGTTGGGGAAAGGCTGCGGGCCTCACGACGCCGGAGGACTACAACTCCCGCTTTCCCTGGCCGCTGGCCACCCCGGCGGAGGCTTCTGGGAAAGCGAGTCCAACGTCGCTGGGGCGAGTTGGTCTTTTGTGCTGCCCCAGCGGCGCGGCGCCCCGCCCCCCGCGAGGGGCGATTGGCTGCTTCGGAGGGGCGTTCCCGGAGCCTTGTCCCGTCTCTGAGGAGAGCCGGCACGGGATTGGTCGGGAGAGGCTGCCCGTCCTACGTCGCGCCATTGACGGGCGGCGGGTCGCGACGCCCCGTGGCTCTGATTGGGCGGGCGTGTGGGCGAGGGGGCGGGCGGAGGAGCCGGGCGGGGGGGAAGAAGGAGCGGAGCGGCCCGAGCAAGATGGCGGCGTCTGAGGCGGCCGAGGCGGGCCTGGGGACGGCGGGCTGAGCAGCCGCGGCCGAGCCAGAGCGCCATGTCGGGGCCAGACGAGCGCGAGCCCGGCGGCGGCGGCGGGGCGGCGGCCGGCGTGGTGGCGGCGGGCGCCGGGGGTCCTCTGGCGCTGGGGGAGGCGGCGGGGCCTGGCCCGGGGGGCGCCGAGGAGCCGGGGCCGCCGCTCGGGGCTGGGGGGGCGGGCGCGGGGGGAGGCGGCGGCGGCGGCCTTGTCCGGCAGCCCGAGCCCGGCGGCGACCGCGACTCCGACGCGCCGCCCAAGAAGCGACTGAAGCTGCCGGGCGGAGCCGAGGGAGGCGGCGGCGGCGGCGGCGTCAAGCTGGAGGAGCGCCTCTACTCGGTCCTCTGCTGCACCGTGTGCCTCGACCTGCCCAAGGCCTCCGTCTACCAGGTGCGACCCGCGTCCTACACGTGTACACGCGTGTACAGGTCCTCTTCCCACGTGCCGGGTTCCCCCCTCTCCGCAATGGCGGCATTCGCAGGCACGCATTCGCATCCCGCTGAACCTTTTGCCCCGGGGCGGGAAGGGCTACCTGGGGGCAGGTGTTCGTGTGAACGCGAAGGTAAGCACGGGAACGCAGGCAGCGGCGACCTTGTCGTGAGCCAAGCCCATACCTGGCTCAGTAGGGTCCCCACCCGTTTTTCCCAACCCCCGGGGGTTGTTGGACTACAACTCCCTAGCCAGCAGGACCCGGGGTCGGGGATGATGGGATATGTAGTCCAACAGCTTGCTGGGAACCCGAGGTTGGGAAACGCTTGGCAGGCAGCAAGGAGTCTCTCCCAGCCTTACCTGCAGGTGTCATGGGGATTTGAACCCGCGACCTTTTGCATGCATCCATGCAAGGCAAGGGCTGCTGAGCTTTGGCCCATCATGAAAATGGCCCGTGTCAGTTGTGACTCCTGAGCCGCCCATCTCGTTCCGCTCGTTTCAAACTTGTGGTCTCCGCTGCCCTTGGGTTGGGTTAGGAGCTTTTCAAAATGAGGGGAGAAATGCTTGAAATAGGGGAGGGGGAGAGAAAACCACCTTAAAAAATGATGTTAAATCAGCGCTTTCTAAGGATCATCACTTAATAATGCAGGTGGGTTGTCTCCTAAGTTAAGGTGTTGAGCTGATTATTCTTGCCTGACTGGTCAAATAGTGGTGTGGATCAGTCCCCTTCTCTTCCTCCCCCACCCTCTGCCCCTCCTTCAGTGCATATTCTGGGCGGAATAGCCAATATGGCAGGTAAGTACAGAAGTAGGGAGGCAGTAACCAATTGAATCGGAGAGATGTGCTTGTGGTGTGTTTTCTTTCATTGTTCTTCCCACCCTCTTGCACAGAGTGAGTGCCCATCAGATAACGTACATACATTTCCCCCTTCCCATTATGCTGTATTTCTGTAAGCCATGCTGGAGAAATCCCTAAAATGGAAACAATTATCTCGTTCCACAAATCAGACACGCCCACCTTGTTTTGCTTTGTCCGAGATCTCCATTTATCCAGCGTTTGGGCAGGGTCACCTGTGTGCTGCTTGCTCCTGACTCATTAATTTAGGCTCCTGGGTGGCAGGTTTAGCTGCTGATCTTTCAACCTGTGGTATAACTTGTTCTGCTCATAATTGCTGCTCTGAGCTTCCCTTCCCCCTGTGTTTTGGAGGAAGGGTGGGGTGTAAGCACAGTGGTACCTCAGGTTACAGATGCTTCAGGGACTCCGCTAACCCAGAAATAGTACCTCAGGTTAAGAACTTTGCTTCAGGATGAGAACAGTAATTGTGTGGTGGCAGCGGGAGGCCCCATTAGCTAAAGTGGTACCTCAGGTTAAGAACAGTTTCAGGTTAAGAACGGACCTCCAGAACGAATTAAGTTCTTAAGCCAAGGTGTTGTTGTTTAGTCGTTTAGTCGTGTCCAACTCTTTGTGACCCCCTGGACCACAGCACGCCAGGCACCTCTGTCCTCCACTACTTCCCGCAGTTTGGTCAAACTCATGCTGGTAACCTCGAAAACACTGTCCCACCATCTCGTCCTCTGTCGCCCCCTTCTCCTTGTGCCCTCCATCTTTCCCAGCATCAGTGTCTTCTCCAGGGAGTCTTCTCTTCTCATGAGGTGGCCAAAGTCTTGGAGCCTCAGCTTCACGATCTGTCCTTCCAGTGAGCACTCAGGGCTGATTTCCTTAAGAATGGATGCGTTTGATCTTCTTGCAGTCCATGGGACTCTCAAGAGTCTTCTCCAGCACCTTAATTCAAAAGCATCAATTCTTCGGCGATCAGCCTTCTTTATGGTTTAAGCCGAGGTACCACTGTAGTAAACTAGGAGTGAGAGTCGTTGGGATGTAAATGGTGAACTAGGAGTGAACCATGGTACAACTCCACTCATCTACAGGTTCAAGAAATCACCATCTCCTGACTCTGTTTTATGGTAATGTTCAAAGTGCTGGATAGGACTTCTCAGTGTGTTGATTCTTCTTGTTGCCACTGGCTCTGCAAGTCTCATCTGCTGTGATTCCTTAAGAATCTTTGCTTGCATATGATGAGAATTCCTCTCTGCTATCTTTATGCCTAGTGAATGTGTGCATGAGTATTGGAAGGAGAGCAGCCTGACAGCTATAAAAGAGAGGCAGTCTCTTCTCTTTCTTCTCTTTGGCGATCATTCGTAGCTGAGTAAGATTGTTTTCCATAAACACGGTTTTAATGAGTCCTTAAGTGACTGTGGAGGCCAGTTCTGGATCCACACGTCCTTCCACAGTGGGGACATTGGTTTCCGAGCGGGAATTGATCACGGTGTGGATTTGCCAAGCGTGCCTTCCTCTTAGCACGTTTCTCCCTTGTGTCCTGAGTTTGAGTGTCTTCAAAGCCCATGACACCTTTGGTAAAGGCTGTTCTCTAACTGGAGCGCTTGCAGGCAAGTTTTTCCCAATTGTTGGTGTTTATACTCCTTTTTTTTTTTTTTTTTTGCCTTGAGACAGCCTTTAAACCTCTTTTGTTGACTGCCAGCATTACGCTTTCCATTTTTAAGTTTGGAATAGAGTAGTTGCTTTGGAAGACGATAATCAGGCAGCCGCACAACGTGACCAGTCCAACGAAGTTGATGTTTGAAGAATCGTCGCTTCAACACTGGTGATCTTTGCTTCTTCCAGTACACTGGCATTAGTTCGCCTGTCTTCCCAAGTGATGTGTAAATTTTTTTGGAGACACTGTTGATGGAATCTTTCGAGGAGTTGGAGATGGCGTTTATAAATGGCCCATGTTTCACAAGCATGCAGTAAGGTTGGTGGTGATCCAGCGAGTGAGTAAGAGAGGCAGTAGAGACACATTAAGGGACAGTGGTGAGAAGATTGGGAAAGGTTCAGAGAGCCTCATTTAGCCTACAGGTTGAATGAATATTACAGGGCCTGGGTTCCTACTTTCCTATATGTATGAGAAAGATCTGCTTGTCTTTCTCTACAGAATTAGAGATACTTACTTTCTTCACTTTTAAAACTGTGGCTTGCTTCTTCTCTCCTCTCCTCTTCCTTTCTACCTACTTCCAAAGATATGCCAGACCAAGTCCCCACCTCCTGTACCTAAATGAGAACATCCAGACTATAACTTCCAAGTAGTTCCTCCCACCTTACAAATGCACAAAACTTTCAGAATTAGCTGCAAGGTGCTAAAATCATCTCAACAAAATTAAGCGTTGGCACTTATTTTCAAAGAAGTTATGGGATGTTGTTGGACTTCTGATCAGAAATGGAGAGGCCAGAGAAGTTGTATGGACATTGTTAAAAGTCCCAGATCCTCTTGCTGGGGAGGAAGTCTGGTGTGTTGGTTTGGGTGACAGATGTGCCTTGCTGTTCTGACCAAGAGAATGCTCTGGGCTTCCTGAGCTCCATGCATAAATTCAGGTACTGCTACCAGATGATTGATGCTTTTTGCCTCTCTGTTTTGGTAATGAAGAGCTCTGCAGTGTCCACCAAAGCTTGGAGAAACCCTCTCCCCTCTTTCCAAGAAACTGTTTTGCAAAGTTGTTCCCTTAAGTGCTTGTTTAGCGCTTGCATAATCAGAACCTGCTTCCCTCCATTTTTGTGCTCCATTTAATTCCTGCAAACATTTTAGGGTAAAGAAGCCACAGAGGACTCTTCAGGCAATCTGTGCAAACAAATCAACAATCAAATGGACTTATGTCCAGTTGTGCCTCTGTTGTTGGCTGTTCAGCTGCATGAAAGCCTCCTGTTCTCTCCCCTGCCCCCCCCCGCACAATGTTTGCACTTAATTGGTGCAGAACAAGGACTCGCACTAAAAGAAGCCAAGTGTGAACCAGAAGCATGGAGCATGTGACTTGCAGCATGTGACTTGGCTTAGTTAAGTCCCTAAATGCAAAGGTCATCGCCTTGGTGATGTTACACTTTGGTGGTTGCGCCCTAATAATATCCGCGCAGTGTTCGCTGCCTCACTGTAGAATAAAGAGATGTCAGATGTGCCATCTCCATAATTCCTTGCTGAAAAACAGGGCAGGAATTGCATTCCGCTTTTGGAAGAGCAAGATTAGTGTTAGCTTAACCAGTTTGAAAACAAGCTCAAGATCCCAGGGAAGAAAAGCAGCATTGTTGGTTGCAGCTCGATGAGGAGAAGCACACAGGCAATTAAACTCTGGCAGTGACAATAATGGAAGCATTTTGTGTTAATACAGTATCTGTGTCTGGAGTCCAGTGGTTGTTGCAATCATATGAGGCTCCATGATAATTGAGAAGCTTCAGCCGATACAGAATGCAGTTGCTCGTCTCAGATACTGGGATACTAGTCAGCCTGTTCTGCATCAGTTGTAACTGGTTGTCAGTTTGTTTCTGGACCCAGTTCAAGGTGCTGGTCTTGATCTTGAAAATCTGTGACCTTCAAAGGCTGTCTCTCCCCACATGACACATGCACACACACCCCTGCTAGGTGAGATCTAATAAACACTCTGCTTACCATCCCAGCTCTGTTAAGTCAGGAGAATGATGACTAGAAGCTGAATCTTAAAGTTTATGATCATGGTGCCCAAGTTGTGGCACTTTCAAAGCCGATCTACCAGCTGTCTTCTTGGAAGGACAGAGGCCGGGAGCCAGTCTGTCCAATGTACCATCAGCCACCTGCTAAAGTCAACTGGCCTTCCTTTCTAAGGTTGTCTATCACCAACCGCTGTGTGGGAAGGATTCTGTTGACTTATGTCTTGAATTTTTAGTAATTTTTTTGTTTGTTTGTTTATGCATTTAGATGTTGTTTGTAAGCCACCTTCGAATATCCTGAAAGGCAGGACACAAATATTTATAATAAATTATGGAAAAGTTCCAGGACCCGCTGACCTATTATTCCTGATTTATGATGTCCATCTTTTATGGTTTTTTGTTAGTTCTGGTGGTTCTTTTTCAATTATTTGATGTTTACAACTTTAGTAAAG